GCGGGCTGAGGCTGAGATACGAGGAGCAGGTCAGGGGAAGCAGCTTGGCGGGGCCACTCTCGCCACTTGGGATGCACACTGCCCCCCCTTTGACAGCTTGCTGCAAAACAAATGCTGAATGCTATTTTTGCTTTTCACCTTTCTTCATTAAAGCTAAAATCCTCTTCGGATTTCTTTCAGGTAGCAAAAACAAGAACTAGTGTAGGTTTTTCACAGAAGTGAAGTGGCAAACTTTCGAAAAGCAGGAGATTCCTGTAAAAAGGAACATCATTCCAATTCAACAGCAAAGCTTGGAAGGACTGGTTTTGGGGCCTCCGCGCTTTGGCCTGGCAAGACCTGTGTGAGCGTCCTCTCTCTCCACCAGCTGGAGTTCTTTATTGCCCATCAAGCAGTCAACTCCCTTCCCCTTGGCAGGATCGTGTCCCTTAAAATCAACTGTCACCTAAGAAATTTTGCTTTGATTCCACTTGCTGCAGAGAAGACACAAGGAACGAACACTAGGTAAACAGGATGCCATTATAATCACTCTTTTTGGCAGGTGCAATGCCCACATCATGCAAGGGTCAGGCTTATTTCGAATCCCTGAGGCGTCTACTCACACTAAGAGGCCGTCTTAGTCAGGAAACACTGAGCAAACATGTAATAATGCCCACTTTTTTTTTTTTTTCATGAACTTCACCAAATCTTCAGGTACATGTTGTGCTCCCCAACAAATGGATGAGGAACCTGAGGCTCTGCTTAAGCATATTGCCTGAGCTTGCATGAAACTTGTTATTTGAGTTCAGGGGTACTTAACCTGGCTCCCAAACCCAGTCTGTTACATAAAGCTGCTTGTCTTAACAATCCATAGGCCCCTCAAGGAGACAGAAGGGAAGGTGTTAGTGGAACATAGTTACATTTTTTTGAGGCAAGAAAAATCAACTGAAGATGAATCCAATTCTGCTCACTTTACAGGATTACGGTGAAAACAACCACCGTCTCAGCACAAACAGTGCTATTCTGGCACAACACTCCCACACAACCCTGTTGAACAGCCCTGCAGCCACACTGTGTGCATAAAGGCATGAAAACCAGAAGGGCTCTCATTCAGAGGTCATAAAGCAAGAACTCAAGAAATGCTTATTAACTCTTTAAGATCTGTTTTATGTGCCTTTTCCCTTCCCCGCAAGAAGTCTTACATTGATCCTAACAATGTTAACTTTCCATCACCTGTGTACTAGGAGCTAGCCAGAGAGAGCACACAGTGGTCAAAAAGGAATCAGCAGTACTATCAGACCAAAATCTCAGAACTTCAGTCCATAGGAAGGAAATGTGCTGCCCTCAGGGCAGGTATATTTCACTGGACACTCTGGAAATTGAGGCTGGAATGCTAATTTACCCAAACTTCCGGTTGATTATAATACACCACATTGAATAACAATTACAGCTCTAAAGAGAGGTCCTAGGAATCAAGAATTCACCCCTAGAGATCCGGCTGGACTGGGGAAATGTTAAGACTGGGTTATCTTTTAAAAGTTTGTAACTCCCAATGAACTGATGTTCTTTTTCATACTCTGCTGGCCATTTTAAAAGGTGGATTTGGGAAGTGATATTTCACATTTATGCCATCACCAACGCTTCCTAGCAATTAAGAGTCTTTAGGTCTTATCTCTGAATAAGATGAAAATAAAATCAAAATTGTAGAGCTCCAATCCCATAAATTTCATAGCCAACCCGAATCACTAGCAGGAAGTCAGATGGCTGATAAAGTAAGTTTGACAGGACAGGAATGACAGATCTATTTCCACACTGGGGATTTATGAACAAGTACCGTTCCCAGATCTCCGCGGAGTTCATACTTTCCAACAAGGTTATCTGCTACTTTTCATATGCCCAGGGCAGAGGCTCCTCCAGATTTCTTTGGAGCTTTGGGTAAATTTTTGTTCCTTGACTTTGCTGTGCTTTGACAAAGCTACAAGAGGAAAGTATGCTGTAAGGATAGCCTATATCCCTTCTTGTGTCACTGAAGCTAACGTGTTGATTTTAAGTAAAACAAACACACATGGAGTGAGAAAGTAATGAGGTGACTCATTTTGCAAGTGAGAGATAGGAAAGCCACCTGTAAGTTTCTGTAAACCAGGAGTGTAAGACTTTGGTCTGACATAACCTCAACTGCTAAAACAGTAATACTCTGGCTGCTGAATTCTTTTTAATGGTTTTCATGAAAATCAAGTGGGTTTTTAAGAGCTGGTAGGTCAATCTCTCAAAACCAAAATAAAAGAATGAAAGGTAAGCTGAAACATCAAGAAAGAGAAGTTAACACAAGCAAACATGGGGAGTTCAAAATAAGCATTTTTAAAAACTTAGGAAGTATGGAATGAGCTTTCGGGTTTCATTTTTTGTAAAAAAACTTGAAGGAAGTTTTTGTACTTTACGTCTTATGTCCCAAATGAGAGCACGAGCCCATACACAGGCAGGTCTGGCCCGTGGTTACCACAGATATTTTGCAAAGTAGCAATGAACATAAATAATTTTCATAAGGCTGAGCTTTTGCATTTATTAAAATTAAACTCCAGTCATCTCCTAACATTCAAATTACTGTGACAAGTTAAATGTTCCACACTCTAACCTAGTTCTATTCTTGTTTTCATCTTAAGTGAGGTCTACCATATAACCATTTTGTGAGGCCAAGATGGAGATAGTACGTTGTCAATCTTGAAACTCATTTTCAAAAGGATGCACAGGTTCACATTTCCACATCTATAGAGCTTTATTAACAAGTAAAACACATGTCAGCATGTTTTATATGGGCAACAACATTCTCACAATAATTGATACATCATCATCTACCAGTTGACTTTATCAAGAATGAGATTTTTAAGAATAATACACTAACATTTCATATGACTGAAGAATTAAATAACTAATAAACAATTAACGTAACATTTAACAGCAGTTAAAATATAAAATCTAATTGTTCACTATTTACCATAAGCTGGAATCATTCCAGTACAATTTCTATTTAAAAAAAAAAAGATACTGTGCATATTCTAAAGGCCAGCCACATGGCCTGGCTAGGAAAGGCTGTGACAACCAACAACAGTTAGCTCCTGACCTAATACTCTGACTCCCTCTCCCAAAGGGCAGTGGGCTTAGGCAGTCACCTCCTGGTGAAAGGTACAGCTCTATATAGAGTGATCATATAACTTATTCTCCTTTTTAGGACACTTTTCAGAGAAGAGGCACTATTTAAGCTGAGAAAACAAATAATCACGACTGTTTCTGAGCAAACTCAGGACATCCGTCACTCCAGTTAAATACAGTATCACATTCACCACTGTTAATTTTGTGCTTTGGGGGAGAGCAAGGACCAGTTGAAAAAGAAATGCTAAAGTAAGAAACCCCAATTTTTTCTCTCCAATTGGACTTTCTGGATTTCACTTTTCCTGTTATGAAAGGTTTTGCTGGAAATTAATTATTGCTGTCTTAACAGGTTAAAATTTATGAACAACCTCAAAGGCAAGGGAGATATCTCACAGACTCCAAAGGGTAGAGATTAGTATTTTTTTTTTCTGTTAAACGGAGATTTTTATTTTAACTGAGTATAAGATCTTTTAATTTCAAATTTCTAATTCAATCCTGAACACACTGTACATAAAAATGTATTTTTACCTTAAATTCAGTTGATTTCATAGATACATAAAAATGGATCATCCTGGTCTTATGTAATCAAAATAATTTAATAAATATTGTCATTAACTTCCAAGCCCCAATTCATATTCATTCAAAAATCATTTAGACATTCTGACAAAGATTCCAACTTGTGAACTTTAGGACAGAGTAAAAAGGCAGCTCAGACTCCCCCAAACACAGCAGCAGCTGCTCTACCCAAGCTCACAACAAATGAAGCGAATGTTTTTAAAACTGATTGGATGATGAGATTTAAGGCTACCACTGAATTGTACCACTTAGAGAGCATCCAGTAACATGCACACTTGAACCTTACAGATTTGAAAGGAAAAAAAATCCCAATAGAAAATGAAGTTTTTGATGTTGGACCAAAAGTGACACATCCATAATTAGAAACCAAGTATAAATACTACAAGAAGTAAAATATTACATTTTAATATAGTGATGTGATAGCTGATCTAGTAAGCTAAAATTACCATGTAGGGTAGCTTAATTTCACTTAAAAATTACCACAAAAAAAAAGTACAGGTGTACAGGAACTTAACATGAGATAAAGAAGAGATCTAGCATGAGGTTACATTTCTTATAAGTACATTCTAATTTTCATTTCCAAATCAGGCAACTAAATTAAATATTTTGTTTTCTTTACCCCATGCTACTGTTTGACCTCAAGGGGGTAACACAGGTACCTCAATCAACAATAAAAATTCTGTACAGGGAGAATGAATGATGAAAAACAATAGGACACTCAATTAGCAAAACAAAACTGCATGTTTTATTTATCAAAGACAATGAAATAAATCAGAAAATACAGAGAAATACAAAAGAAGTTATAAAGTATAACTTATTTTTTCAGAAATGGAAAAATGTCCCTGAATACTTTTAGATGTATTTTTTAGTAGTAGTCAGTGTCAAATAATAAATGAGCAACCAATTTTATATGTTTTAAATATCTGTATTAAATGATTTTTAAGTTTAAAAGAGGATATAATTTCTATCATTTTTAATGTTGGCATCCAAAAGCAAAAATATAACTGAAAATAAAACACATGAGACATAAAATGATTTGCAAAACAGCAGTAGCTTATGAATATAGATTCCAGTTGTAATAATGGTCACAGACACACATATTCTGGCAACACACATATACACACACCACATCCCCATATTCCACACATTTCCATAATTTGAAAACAAATTATTTTGCATATCTCAATTCAAGATATGATTTTTATAGATTAATCCTACAATCATAAAGTAAGAAGCTATTAGTACAAGTTTTGATTTGCTTTGTTTAACAAACTAAACAGCTAAAGAAAAAATTATGACAATGATAATTGAAAGATACTTTTATTGGCTTTTTAAAAGACAAATGCAAATGAGACTATCTTATTCAGAAAATTAATTTTCAAAAATGTCTTAAATGAAATAAATACATCTAATACAATCTCTTCCTGCAAGAATCTCTAAGATGGCAATGCTAAAAACCACACTTCTCAATTGAGAATCCCTAAAACTAGCATGTCCCTTAAAAAAAAAACCAACAGATTTTTTTTATGAAGGACATGTGGAATACCCACACTTTCTTAAAATTTGTCCTAAAACAATCTTTAACACCCAAATTTTCTCTATATATTAAGTTCCCTTAATTTTAAATTAATGAAAAGATATCCAGACCATTTCTAATCAAACAATGCAGAAAGTAATTTATGCATGGTTATTTACAGAAAGAGTATGCTAAATAACGTAAATATCATGTTCAAAAATTTGACAAAGCTTTTCTATAATCAGCACTGCAGGTTTCAAAAACCTATACATAACAAAGGATGTGTCATGTGTAGAGTTACTAGATGAATCTAGAAGCCAGAAACTAAAGCATTTGACATGGTTAATAATTCCATTTTTATTATACTAAATGTCAGGTCAGAAGTCAATGGCATTTACATGCTGGAAGACTATTTTTCACTCATCTCTTTCAATTATATCAAACACTGATTAACCAAATATGACTGGACTTCACTGATACAACTTTATGGTCTCTTTCAAGTATATGCAAATCTTTTAAATGGGCACATATGCAAATGTGCAAAACAAATGAAATATAAATATTTAAGAGAATGAACAGAATTGCTTTAAGCATAAACCACCCTGCCATTCAATTATGAAGATCTATCTTTTCTTCACTAATTTGTCTTCTGCTTTTAGTAGTCTTCTATCCTATTAAAGTTGTAGGTTTACAGATGATCTGGAAATTTCACATTGAGATAAGAAAAGAATGTCTGGTCGATGTAGTCTAGGGACAAAGAAAGAATTAGTCTTAAAGTATATTAAAGTGAAGATATCTAAATGACAGTACAAACACCCATTTTATAGTAGTGGTACATCAAGTATATAATGTTCTTTTGGTAAATGTGACATAAAATAGCATATATCAGAATATACTCAAACATTTAAGCTTCTATAGGAAACTAGAAAATATTTACATTATAGACTCTTAAAAATGCAAACAAGATAATCACACTGAATACTCACAGAATGTCATTTAAATTAGTAAAATTACTTTGCCTTTTTCTTACATACAGATGCACTCTTAATGTTATTGCTTGCAAAGACATTTTAGTGGCTAAAGAGAAAACGTGACATCTTCTAGGTAGACGTAAAAGAGCATTTTTAAAAAATATTTATTTTTGAGAGAAAAAGAGAGCACACACGCGCACACACCAACACACAAGTGGGGAGGGGCAGAGAAAGAAGGAGACCCAGAATCTGAAGCAGGCTCCAGGCTCCAAGCTGTCAGCACAGAGCCCAATGCAGGGCTTGAACCCACGAACTGTGAGATCATGACCTGAGCCTAAGTTGGACACTTAACCAACTGAGTCACCCAGGCACCCTGAGGTAAAAGAACATTTAAAAAGATACTTTAATATTATCCAGAAATACAACTATATTCCCTCTACTCTTCAGTAGAAATAAATTGTATTAGATAATGTAAAACTCATAAAGTTTAAGTGCTCAAATAAAAAACCATACAATTTATTTATAAAAAGATACTTAGTTATAGTAACTGAAACATTTTGTACCTGTAGATAGATACAGAAGTGATTTTTGCTTATGCAGTTCAAATACTTCAAAAGTTCAAGTCATTTATAGACATGATGTATATGTTCTTGCTTTAAAAACATTATGTGTCTCCCTCTCTCTCTCTGCCCCTTCCCCACTCATGCTGTTTCTCTGTCTCAATAATAAACATAAAAAAAATTAAAAAAAAACATTATGGAGGGAAAAGATATTTGTAAGCCATATATTCAATAAGAAGTTAATATCCAAAATAGTTAAAGAACTCATATAACTCAATAATTGAAAAATCAAACAATCCAATCAAAAAATGAAAAGAAGATCTGCAGAGACATTTTTCCCAAAGAAGATATACAGATGGCCATCAAGCATGTGAAAAGATGCTCAACATCACTATACATCAGGGAAATGCATATGAAAATCACAATGAGATTATCACCTCACACCTGTCAGAATGGCTATAATTAAAAAGAAACAAGTATTAGCAAGGACATGAAGAAAAGGGAAACCTTGTGAACCGTTAGTGGGAAGGTAAATTGAGGCAACCATGTGAGAAAACAGCATGGAGGTTCCTCAAAAATTAAAAGAACTACCCTATGATCTAGCAATTCCACTTCCAGCTATCTATGTAAAGAAAATGAAAACACTAATTTCAAAAAGATATATGGACCCCTCTGTTAACTGCAGCATTATTTACAACAGCCAACATATGGAAACAACCTAAGTGCCCACCAATAGATGGATGAATAAAGATAAGGTGTCTAAAATGTAATACTACTCAGCCATAAAAAAGATCTTGCCATTTGTGACAATATGGATGGACCTTAAGGATATTATGCTAAGTGAAGTAAGTCAAAGAAAGACAAATGCTGCATGATTCACTTACAAATGCAACCAACAAAAACAAAAACAAAAAAAACCCCACAAAACCAAAAACAATAAAACAACATCCAGACTCATAGATACTAAGAGAGTGATGGCTATCAAAGAGGATGGAGTTTCGGGGTAAAGGGGGCAAAATGGGTGAAGGGGATCAAGAGGTACAAACTTCCATATACAAGACAAGTAAGTCATGGGGAAGTAATTTACAGCATGGGGAATACAGTCACTAATACTGTATAACCTTGTTATACATCATTCAGATGATAACTAGACTTATTTTGATGACCAGTTCACTTATACAAATGTCAAATCACTATGTTATATACATGAAACTAATATAATATTGTATGTTAACTGTTTTTCAAAAAAAAAAAAAAGAGCCTACTACAGAAAGTAGAGATACAAGGTCCCTTCATGTGAAGATTACTGGTTGCACACGGCCTCCAGAAACTCACTGGATAACTGGTAAGAAAACCTTGCTCGTGTCTTTATTCCCTATTATTCAGGTTGAAGCCTTCACTACTGGCTCAAACTGACACACTTTAAGAAAAGAGTATATCAGAGCTCACATTTTCTTCACACAACTTTTACTCTTGGATCTAGTTTGTTAAGATCAGTGCGTAGAAAATTACTTTTTAATCACAAATTTGGGGTTTTTTTTGCTTTTTTCACCACGTGTGAATTTCACATTGTTTCATACAAAGTGCCCATCCCTTCTGCAGAAGTGCCTTGTCCTGTTTTTTCAAGCTTTTAAATTTTGTGCTAATGGTTACTTACATCCTATGGTTAATCTTTAAAAAAGAAGTATAAAAAGTCTGACTTAAAGTTTGTTTATTCATTATATATTTAAAAAACTAAAATTTATGAAGAAATCTAATTTTTAAAATCTACCTTAAAAAGTTCACAACTTATTAAATTTTCATTAGTTGATTAACAGGATATCAATACATTAAAAATGCTAAATTTAAGTAAACAACATGAGTACACATAATATGCATTCTGGTGAATATGAATACATGAAGGAACATTACTATATTAAGATTTCTTACCTCTATAATAAGAAGAAATATCTTGTTCTATGAGCAGCTGCCATACTCTCAGACATGTTTCTGACTTTTAGATAATTAACAAATCCTCTGAAGAAAAGCAGCAGGCCTGAGAGGTTAAAATAATAGCTACATTATGTTCTTACACAGAGGGGGCACCATAAATTTAAAATAGACAATTATAAACAATGTCCTCTTGGCTTAAATAATTTAATCTGTAAAATTCCATTCACTCCATAATCTATTTTATATGAGAATGATAATCCCATCATGGAAAAATTTAATAAAAGTTTACTGCCTCCCAAAAATTCTTTCAGTTTGTTAAGTCCAGATGTATCCAGCCATGAAAATCCAGAATTATACAAAAATATACATTTATTCCATTTCTTTAAATAGAAAAAGTTACCTAATCCATTTAATCTGATTCAACTCACAGAAATCCCATTTTTATATGAATTTTTTTAAAAGAATTTCTGGGTTTTTAAGTTTGTTGATTTCAAGAGAGCGAGTGAGCAAGTGCACGAGCCAGGGAAAGGCAGAGAGAGACAGAATCCCAAGTACACTATTGTGGTCAGTACAAAGCCTGATGTGGGGCTTAAATTCACGATACGTGAGACCATGACCTGAGATGAAGTTGGACTAACTGACTCAGCCACCCAGGGACCCATACATAAAACCTTTCAATTAATGGGGCGCCTGGGTGGCTCAGTTGGCTAAGCGTCCAACTTCAGCTCAGGTCACCATCTCACGGTTCAGGGGTTCAAGCCTTGCATCAGGCTCTGTGCTCTCAGCTAGCTCAGAGCCTGGAACCTGCTTCAGATTCTGTGTCTCCCTCTTTCTTTGACCCTGCCCTGCTCAAGCTGTCTCTGTCTCTGTCTCTCTGTCTCTCTCTCAAGTAAATAAAAATCAAAACAAAAAAAAATTAAAAATTTTAAAAAAGGGTGATGGGCAGGGAGGAGGGCACTTGTGGAGATGAGCACTGGGTGTTAGAAGGAAGCCAACTTGACAATAAATTATTTAAAATTTTTTTAAATAAATAAAACTTTTCAATTAATACAACTATTAAGCAAACTAAAGACATATTTACTGATATAAAGTATTCAAGAAAGAATATATATGCATGTAATTTGCTAACAACTGTGGGATAAAACCAATAAGCCTGTCTAGCAATATCAAGTGCCTGTCATCTGTGAAATCCACATTTGAAGATATATGTTACATAAATAATTTTAATTATTATTTCTTTTTTTCAAGTAATAATAAAAGACTAATTTATAATACAAATTTAGATAAGAAGAATAGGAAAGACTTATAAAACAACCACTCTAGTGATTTCTTAAATGATTTGGGATAGCTTATTGTATCTATTTCAGCATTCTTTATAACAGGAATTTTAAATAACAGCCATTTATATAACAGGTCTCCTGAGTAATTAACAAAACAATGCCTGTGAAATGCTTCGAAGTTTCAGATGAAAAATATTAGCTAACTGTAAAAAGCATTAGAATCATTAGTAAATTCTCTGATATACTTATTAAGCACAGAATTCTAAGGGAAACATTTACTAACTTCAGTAATATTAAACTAGTAACGGGGGGTGTAAAACAAAACCGGAAGATATATACACATACAGCTTTCCTCATCAAGAGGAAAGTCTGTCCATTTAAAATGCAAGGTCCCAATCTAAATTTGTACCCCAAATGCAAGACAGTAACCAAAGCACTAAAAACAGCATGGTTATGATACATGAAAAAGATAGGAGACATACAAATAATGACTTAAACAGGTGGTAGAAATTTCAGCTCAATCGGATCCCATCTGCTTCCCATACCCTAAACTCCTTCCATTTGTGACTCCCGCTCTGAATTCCACCCTCATGCCCTTGCAGATACTGTTCAAAGATAATGGTATTATGATCCAAATGTAAAAGCATTATTGAATAATGTAAACCAAAATTATTTGTGAAATCCCTTCTTTTGTCTATAAAAACTGCTGTTTCTAAGACATATTTTGTTCTGCTCAGGCATTTTCTAAACTAAGGCAGTTCATATCTAGAAACTAATCATTCAGCAGCTATTGTTTCTCAGTCTTCTACAATGTACTCAACATTCTTCTGAGTATATGTGAGAGCAACATTTTTATCATTGATTAAATTTTCATATTTTCCTAAATGCTAGATTGTGGTTCTGATGTGGAAATGAGGTCATCCTCTGCATTCCATTCAGGCCTGTAGCTGTCTTCCTAAGGTCCAATCCTTTCATAATATACGTAGAAGCAAATATACTCATCTAATATGCTTAAATACCTAACAGACTTTATAGATTTTTTTCACTGTTAAAAAAGCAGCTCAATAATCAGCACAGAATTCAGGCAGTCAGAACACAATTGCCAATACAAAACAACTGCCTAAACTTCCTCGCTGGAGTTTGGGTCCCTAACAAAATCACAACACCAGAATAATTTCACTATAATTATTAGAGAAAGAATACAGGATCTTTAGTGACTTTATCTGACTGCAAGAATTTGTTTTCGTAAAGATCCTAAAGATCCAAAAGCAGGACCAAACAAAAACTCAATGAGAACACTGCCACCTACTGAAATGCTATTATTTTCTGGTACAATAATAATGTTACTAGAGAAATGTGGGCTTTTAAACTTGAGTACATTCTTCATGTCAGTAAATAAATCTGAAATGTGGATTAAAGGCATCATGTGATTTTAAGATAAACTTATCATACACCTAAAGTGAAAAATCACCAGGCAACAAAAATTGGAAATCCATAAAATTCATCAATATTAATAAAAAGACATGCCTTGTAAGAAGAAAACTCAACGAAGTAGTGTGATCGTTAGGCATGAAGTCTTATGCCTGGCTGATTAATGATTAATACAGGCTATGTTTCAGAAGTATAAAGAACATTTCAATGTTCCAAAAATAAGTAAATGCACAGAACATCCAACTATCCTACTCTCAACATTTCCTAGGATCGCTAAAAGAAATTATGCATGTATATTTTCCAAAATAAATGCTGAAGACATTTTTTAAATCATTTTAGGATTTTCAAGTTTTATTGTATTTAATTATCATCCAACCACTGATTTTTAAATTGACAGGATCTGGATTTTAAATCCAAAATCTAGAGTGCTATGTATAATTATCCAAAGAGCTGAGATGATTTAAGTGCTTGGATAGGCGAACTTTACAGCATAAAAATCATTACCACCTAAGTTCCAACACAGTGGGTTTACATCTTACAATTTGGGGAAATATCAAAGTTTAACTAAATGCAAATTAAACTGAAATAGGAAGAAACTTACCAAGTACAAGGAATATCCACCAAAGCCAATACTGTCCGTTGAAATATCCAGTAAAATAATCAGAAAACTATGGAGCGAACATAAATATATTAACCATATTTATGTACCTGAATTTGAAAATCATAGATTAGCCTCAATTTCAGAATGATGTGCCTCAAATAATCTCTAGCACTTAAAACAACACAAAGAGAAAAAAAATGCTTAATACATTATGGAATACACACACAATTACTTAATACATTATGTAATACATACATAATTACTTGAGGGAAAAAACTCTTTAAAATCTTTTATACAATAACTAACAAACTTACAGAAAATATTTTAGACACAAAAATCAATTTCAAGATGCTTGTAAGAAAGAAAGGTAAATTCTATGTATCTGAAAATCCAACTTTCTCATTAAAGAGTTCACATGTCAGTTCTTTTTTCATAATCTCTCAAAGCCACAACGACTATCCCAAACACACTACAGCAACCCGCTGCTTTAGATATTAACACCAAAAGCCACATTAGTTTAATCTTATCAGATGGGGATGTTCAGCTGACCTCTAAAAAGAAGAGCTTTTGACCTTCTGTACACCCCCTACTGTTAATCACTGCCAAGAATACTAGGCACATAAAGACCCCCAACTCATTAGACTCTTTTTATTTTCAAACTAGATGCTCCAGTCTTCAGTTCCCAACAGTGAGCTGAGAACAGCTAAATGAACCTTGAAGTGGCATTTCAACAGTTCCTACTAGTGACCAACCACAGTAGACAGTTTTATATGCTCTGTGAAATGAGAGTATGAATAGGCAGATGGGAAGGCAGAGTTTCACGACACTGAACACAGGTATATCTTCCTTGATTAGACTCTGGACATCATGATTTTAATTATTTAATTTTTTTTTTTAAATTAAGCTCATTCTCTTCAGAGTTACTTCAGATAATTCTTCCCTACTACCCTCCAGCACCTAAAGAGTGCTCCAAATACTAGTTTTTTGAACGTAATGTATCCTAGTCTAAAAACCATTAAAAATTATGTTTTTTTATCTACTGTTTCCATTGTCTCCATACTGAATCTGACTGAACTAAAAATGATTTTGTCAAATGGAGACTTGCCCTTCAATCTGAAATTAGAAGTATCTATCTCCAACTTTTTTTGGTAATTATTTCCAGCTATGCATTGGTACTTTCCAAAAAAGCATTTTTTAAAATCCTATAGGTTTGGTAATAACCAAAACGCTTATAAATTATAAATAATGTCCTATGGGTTTTAGAGTCTATATGAACAAAAAGAAATAAAGAAGCAAATCAATACATTTAACTAATTTTTAAATATACTGTAGAATATATTTAATAAATAATACTAACTGGCAAGAGACAACCAGAAAAGACCATCATCATTCTTCAGCAAAAATATTTACCAGAGCTAGTCTTTATTTACTTCTGGGTGAAAAATAAAATTACCTTCACCTTGAAGTCAAAGAGAGACTTTGTGAAGTTCACTACATAAAAAGGATAAACTAATAAGCTTTTGAAGTCATTACTGAATGAGCAAAAATGTATACCAACAGTCCCAGGGCTAAGCCAAGTTCGTTTTTTTGTTTTTTGTTTTTTTTAATGAATAATCCATCATGTTGACTAGCCAATCAATGCAAAACTCAAATTTTGGAAAATAAATTAACTGACAACAGGAATTTATCTAATTTTATTTTATTAATGTAATATAAGCATTTTATTGTTTACATCCTACTTTTAGAAAGAGTTGTTAGTTTTTAACAAAACACATATGCATTTTCAAACAAATAATAAAAGGATCAAAAGCCCTAGACAGAAATAATACCAGAACTGGCTAAAGAGATTTACGTTAAATCTGAGGCTCATGGCAACACAGAAACAAAAACAAAAGCTGCAGTAGGATTTATAAATTACTTATTGTCTAATAAAATAAAACATCAGGCTTTGAGAAGAAACCGTTTGTCTCAGCACTGAGCTCCACAGGGAATTTACTGCCTGGAACATTATAATAAAAGTCAACATGCAGTGTCATAGAGGCAGTTACAGAACCAGGAGAACAGATACTGAATTGGGACCAAGTTAGATTCTAATCCACATACAAACTATGGGATGTGAAGCAAGTTAATAGACTTTTTTTAATTCTTAGCTTCATCATCAATAAAACGGCTGCACTGTCATAAGCATCACTGATACAGGTAGTGGGTCAAGAATTTGATGTTGGTAATAAATTCTGCTTGGAACATAGTAAGTACTCAATGAATGGCAGCTATTATTACTTTATACAAAAGATCTTTAAAATGCTTGTATCAATTCTCAGTATACACTAAAAGCATAACATTAACCTTAACTCAGTAGCAATGTAATCAGGATCTCACAACCCTGAGATCAAGAGTCACATGCTCTTCTGACTGAGCCAGCCAGGTACCCCTCAGTAGCGCTATTATAAAGGGAAACTAAACACTCCTGGTGCTCAAACTTGATGCTAGTATATACCTTAGAAAACTTTGAGAACCCAATGTCTTTGAATTTAAGTTTCCCACTTCATCACATTAACTGGAGTTAATTACTAGATAATCAACCCCCTCTCAAGTAGGGGTACTGTGGGAGAATTAGATGCTAATACCCTTAAGGCGAAGGTTGCATATAATGGACTAGACTACCTTCTTTATAAATTTAGAATACACAAAGTAAATTTAGGAGAATTGAAAAAACAGTCCTCAAATCATTTTGTGTTCTGTGACTAAGATGAGAAATTCTATTTGAATAAAAGTAATTAATTCTATTACTAACATAACCATAACCAATGGACATATCTAACTTCAACTCTTGAGGTTTTTCTAGTAATAACTTATGCAAGGGCAGGGATCATCTCTTTATATTTATATGCTCCATAACACCCTAACAGATTTCTGCTCATAGTGGGAATCCACTCTACATTTTTTGAAATGAAATTAGAAAAAGAATCTTCCAGGGGGCTGTTCTTACAGTGGCTCTAGTTTTAATCGTCTTAGAAGAAGCCATGCAATAGGTCTTACCCAAGAATCAACTGATTAATAACCAAAACCTTAATCTGGTCTGAACAGAGACAAGGTCTGATAAGATTACTGAAACTCTAGGAAGTAATAAGTTTAAAAATAATGCAGAAACACATTAAATCCAGTTTTAATGTTTTTAATCCATTTGATGATGTAGGTGCATAACTTAAGTGTCTGAAGCACTTAAGAGAAGCTGTTTTAGTATGTGACTCTACTGAATATTTTAGGAGTACGTGACTCATTCAATTAGAAATCAATGTTTAATACTACATGGCAATGAGGAAGAATGAAATCTGGCCATTTGTAGCAACGTGGATGGAACTTGAGGGTGTTATGCTTAGTGAAGTAAGTCAGGCACAGAAGGACAGATATCATATGTTTTTACTCATATGTGGAACAGGAGAGACTTAACAGAGGACCATGGGAGAGGGGAAGGGCAAAAAAATAGTTAAGAAGGGAGGGAGGCAAACCATAAGAGGCTTTTAAATACGGAGAACAAACTGAAGGTTGATGGGGTTAGGAGAGAGGGGGAAGGGGTGGATGGGCTGGAAGAGGGCACTTGTTTGGATGAGCACTGGGTGTTATATGGTAACCAACTTGACAATAAACTATAAATTAAAAAAAAAAAGAAATCAATGTTTAAATGACTATGATTTGTAGAAGTTATACAATTTATCAATTGTGTAATAGCATTTAAATGTGTGGGTTACTTTTAAGAAAACTTTTATTAAAACAATAAATAAAGGCATTCTTGATCATTCTCCTAGGCCTTATCCTAAAGAAACTAGGGAAAAGGCTTTGTAAAAAGGAGCCTAAAGGAGCCTTCAAAAGGCAAAGGTAAAGAGCTGGGGTAAGCTATGCTAACAACACTACTTACTGCGGGTGGAATGGTTACAGAAAATTACTATGGAATAAGCTGTTATGATGGGAGAACAGAAAAGACTTGCCATTATCTCCCTATACACCATCTCATATATGGTAAGAAATAGACAGAGGGTGAATCCCAGGAACAGTAGAGAAATGAAAAGAAAGGCTGAGAAGGAACATAAGGGAAAAACGTGAATTCTGATAGTTACCTCAAAGCCCACAGTTTACTTTGAGTTCTTAATACTACTCACCCTCCTCCCAAAAAGAGTGAGAAAATAACTAAATCCATGATAATTTTACTAACCGATAGAAATTTTTATGTTTTGACTGATCACAATAGTCATAGACATAGTTTACTGAGCACATTTGTGCAGTGACTGGGCAAATGCTTTAATCATATCACCTCTAAACCTCACACAAATCCTGAAAGGCAGCTGTTACCAACCCATTAATGAAGAAACTAATGCTCAGAACAATTTAAAAATTTAAGGTTAGAACACTGATATAAATAAGACTCAAACTCAACCTTTTCTGTTTTCAAAGCTCTTTCCACGTAGTAACAAGCTTTCATTTAATAAACTTACAAAATGTTCACCCCACAGAAATCACTATAATAATACGTATAAAAGATAAGAATAAGTCTCAAAATAATTGAATTCCTATATACAAAATAAACATTCATGAACCATAGACAGAATTTCATATACTTTAATTTTAGAGATAAAAGTAATACACACTATCACAACACTCACCCTAACGATAAGGATCCATTTGATCAATGAAAGTCCAAATCCACATATGGCACCATACCTTCCAGCTATGGTATTGGTGATACAGAAGGATAAACAAAATCCAAGCCAGTTGAAAATAAATGCCACTATAAGGAAGAGAAATAAAAATTTCCTTTAAAGACCACATTTTGGAAACAAATCAAGAGAGACATAATATTAACACTACTATACTGCACAATGGAAATTACAATCCCCTTTGTTTTGACTCTGTACCAATTAAGTCTTCTTTACAGACTCTAGTTTACCTTTTGCAAATGTATCAGTTATTTACCATACATTAACAAAGAGGTAAGCCTGGTTTCTTGTCAGTTTGGCCAAGAGGAATCAATTCTTTAAAATTTATCACTAATTGGTTAAACTGCATTTTTAAACCAGCTAATAAACCAATTCACAAGGTAGCTCTCATGCAATCCCACCCAAGAATCCCAGGTTAAACAATCAACCAACAAAACTGGATTTTTTAAAAAGTAATATTAAAAATGAGCCACATAATTATAAAAGTATTTCCAGAGAAGATATTAGTCACTTCCTCTTCCTCCTACCTAACAAAACGTGTTTATCTCCCTCCTGAAGAATCCACCACCTATAGGGTCTTTATTTTAGGGAAGGCTGGACCCCATACTTAATCCCAAAAGGTGAACCCTGAGTAGTCTGGGGGTTTAAAAAAAAAAAAAAAATCACAGGAGCCAAACTCCCTGCCAATTTTTTTTTTTAAATAGGATTTCTGAAAAGCATTCCTCGGTTCTTAAAAACACATCAAGGAGATGAAGAATGGAAGATAGTTAAATAAGAGTGGCTCTAAAGGGGCACCTGGGTGGCTCAGTTGGTTACGCATCCAACTTCGGCTCAGGGCATGATCTCACGGTTCGTGGGTTCAAGCCCCGCGTCGGGCTCTGTGCTGACAGCTAGCTCAGAGCCTGGAGCCTGTTTCAGTCTGTATCTCCCTCTCTCTGACCCTCCCCTGCTCACGCTGTCTCTCTCTCTCTCTCTCAGAAATAAACATTAAAAAAAAAAAAAAAAAAAGAGTGGCTCTAAATTGATGACTTGAAGCTGAGTGATAGAGATTGATTACCTTCTTGCCTAGGTTATGAATTTCCACTAGGTATAAAGAGATAGATTTTTTTTTTAAGTACTCCTTTCCCCCGGATGTCAAGCTTGGATGTGATACCTGGAACCACTGCAGGGATCTTGCTATCAGCCTGAGGATGAACCCCTAAGTCCAAATGGGCGAGAGAATGGAGAAAATCCAACAGAAGCAGAGCTGCAATACTGACACTTGCTGCAGCTGAGATCTGCTTGTTCATGGATTTTCTGTTTTGTGAGATAATCTCCTAACTATTTAAAATTGTTGAATGAGGTTTTCTATTACTTGTAGCAGAAACCATTCTGACACAGGTCCTTAAGATATAATCAGAGTGCCCTGTGTACAAGACAGTAACATTATCAAAATAATAACAGTAACAATAATCAAACTACAGATCAATTTGAACAGAACTTTGGTCCTGTTCAGTGCCCATCCTCCTACCTCAAATATCTCCACCCAACTCTCAGGGTAAACAAAGTAAATTACTTACAGAAATGCTGACTTTTTCAGAATTCTGAAGACCCAGAGGAAACATTTTAGGATAAGTTTAAATGAAACAGCTATTTCTTCAAAGCAATTTCCCTACTCCTGTAATTTCTTCCTTCCTAATGCGTACTGGAACTTCTTTCTCCGAATGCTTTCTTGATCATTTATGGTAAGCTGTGTTATATGTATGGTACAATAGTCAGGCAAATGAATTTTGAAATAAGAGACCTGTGTTTGAGTCACAGTGAACTCACTCACTAGATAAATGACTTTGGCCTCACTGCTGACTTTGGTGAGCCACAGTTCTCTGACCTGTAGTACTACTTCACAACGCTGATAAATGGATTAAATGAGACAATGAATTTAAAGAGTTTAACACAGTACAGAACCTGGCACCTGGTGATAGCTAAAGAAGTGTTAGCCATTATTACTACCCATACAAGATGGTCTCTCTACAGAATAGGTTGCATCTCTGCTCCCACCCCCCAAAAAATAAAATTCAGGTGACACTACTGGAAATAACTCTTGTTCACACTCCACCTTTTCTTTTTTGTAAACCCAGATACTGTTCAGTACTTTTCTGTCCTCTACATCTGTGTTATCCAGTGCCACCAGACACACTGCTTCTTCCACTTGCTCCAGGGACCTACCCTGCTCTACACAGGGGGATATTTAAACTTCAATTAATTAAAACCACATGAAATTTAAAATTTAGTCCCTCAATCACACTAGCCATATTTCAAGTGCTCAATGGTCACATCTGGCTTGTAGCTGCCATACTGGACAACAGAGATACAGAATATTTCCATCATCATAGAATATACTATTAGACATAGCTATTCTACATCTGATTGGTTAATATTTGTGTTATCTATGGACAAAGCATGCAACAGCTTTGTCTATTTAAAATAAAGAATTTGCATAAATAAATAGCAGTAGAGATCTCAACCTATGTGCCATATGTGTGCTAAGACAGACTAGATAGTTACTCTCCTCTTCCTCAGTGTGTGGGTGAGGTCTGGGGCACGAGACAGACTGCCAGCAGCCCTTAGCAACTTATTACTTTATCCCAGTGTGCGTATTACTATATCCCAGTGATGCCCCAGTCTATCATTTTATAAGCATGTCATGTAGTTAAAACACAGGAAGCACTGATGGAGAAAATACAAAATAGCAAAATATTCCAAAAGTTCATTTTTGCTCTGAGCATGTGTACGTTTAGTTTGGGAGAAAATTAATTCAAACATTGTTTTCTTCAAAATCAGATTTACCAGTATCTACTATACATACCACTGTACCCACACCAGAACTAAGATCCAAAAAACAAAAAAGTACCTACTGAGTCATCATGTTTTCTTTCTGCTCTCTGCCAGCAGCAGGGATTCCTATAAGCTGTGCTCATGCAATGTAATGTATTATGGACTGAACCATGTCTCCTTAAATCCCTAGCCCTCAGTGCAACTGAATTTAGAGATAGGGCGTTTATGGAGGTAATTAAGGAAATAAGGGTAGAGCCCTAATCCATTAGGACTGGTGACCTTATAGTAAGAGGAAGAACACCAGAGAGCTCTCTCTTTCCACACAGGTAGAAAAGAGACCATGTGAGACACAGCAAGAAGACCGCTGTCCACAGACAGGAAGAGAACCCCTCACCAGAAACCGAATTTTCCAGCACTCTGATCTTAGACTTCCAAAACCATGAGAAAATAAATTTCCACTGTTTAAGCCACCCAGATTTTGTTACAGCAGCTCTAAAACACTAATACATAACTTTATCCATCTGTAACTGATTTAAGCACTGGGAAACAAAGTTGGGAACTACTTGAATGTGGACACATTCAGTTTTTAAAATTTTTTAATGTTTATTTTATTTTTGAGACAGAGAGAACACAAGCAGGGTAGGGGCAGAGAGAGGCAGGGACATAGGATCTGTAGCAGGCTCTGTGCTCACAGCAGAAAGCCCTATGTGGGGCTTGGACTCGCAAACCACAAGATCATGACCGGAGCCAAAGTCAGAATCTTAACTCTCACCCAGGGCCCCAATAGATTCACTTTTTATGGTCCTTGGCCTATAATATACGAAGTAAAGCTGAACAGGTCTTAAAAGTACAGAAATGGCAGAAGCATTCAATTATGAATCCTCTATGACATGTCTGAATTGGCAAAAAAGAAAATAAACAGGAGCACCTGGGTGGCTCAGTCGGTTAAGCACCCGACTTTGGCTGAGGTCATGATCTCACGGTTCATGGTTCTGAGCCCTGCGTTGGGCTCTGTGCTGACAGCTCAGAGCCTGGAGCCTCCTTCAAATTCTGTTGTCTCCCTCTCTCTCTGCCCCTCCTCTGCTCATGCTCTGTCTCTCTCTGTCTCTCATAAAAAGTTAAAAAAAAAAAAAAAGAAACATACACTAAACCTTAAGTGCGTAAAATCAATAAAAGAAACATGTAGTAGAGGCAGGTGAATGTAACATATCTAAGAAAAAAGAGAAGAACACTTTCCTTTCAGCTTTACTTCATTTGTGCCATGAAACCTAAGACAAAACAAGAAGCTTAAAAGGCACAGGGCACCTAGTCCCCACACAGCAAGGCCCACCATGGAATCCAAAGAAGCAACAGGCTTCTATAACGTATATTCCTTAGGAAAAAGTTAAGATTTGGGGGGAGCAAGCAGCTAGGAAGCAGGGCAATTATGTAAGTAAAGTTAGTACAGAGTGCAAAATGTTGCTCCAATTACACTTTCCACAGTCACATTCACAGTGCCCTTCTTTGTATGAAAGTGAATCAGACAGGTTAGTGACATTTAAAAGAAGGCTGCCAATCAGTTTAAATCATGTAAAAGGTAAATTCTCAATTAAGGATGTGGAAGGAGAACATTACTGCTACCTTCACCTAACAGGACTCTATAATTTATAACATTTCACTTATTTTAACTTATTTGATCTTCTCATTACCCTTTTAAGAAGGGCAAGGTCAGAATTAATTCCATTTTACAGAAGGACAAATTGATACCTCTAGCAGCAAAGTGCCACATAAACTCACAAAGCAAGTAAGAGGTATAGGTAGGATAGGAGCACCCAAGACTTTCACATCTTATCTCCCGTGATCTCTTTCTTGCATGTACCTCCCATCTACAGAAAGAGGGTAGCAGGACAGCCTAGAAAGCAATATTGTACACTACAGTTACCCATTCATAAGAGTTTACTTTTAAATTTCCAAAAGCCAAAAAGATGCTTATTAATTACAAGGGAAAAACTTTATAGTGAAGAAAGCTGGCAGACACCACCTTAAGCTGATGAGAACTGACATCACCAGTACTAAATGTAACTAGATCACTGCCTCCTGATATGACCCACTGAGAATGGCACATCATATCTACGGTATTTGTACAGCAACTGGGTGAATGCTTTAATCGTATCACCTCTAAACCTCACGAAAATCTGGAAAGGCAGCTATTAACAGCCCATTATGAAGAAACTTATACCCAAAACAACTTAAAACTTAAAGTTAGAACAATTGATATAAATAAGACTCAAACCTGATTTTTTCTGTTGTCAAGCTCTTTCCATGTTGTAACAAGCTCTCACTTAATAAAGTTACAAAACTTTATTCACACCACACCACAGATCATTACAGTAAGTATAAAAGGTAAGAATAAATCTTAGAAGCAAAGTTTTCTAAACAGAGTCCATTACATTCTTAAGCATTACAGTTTAAGGTCATTTCCAGACTATCAATTATCAAATGAATTAAAACTTAATTTCTAGCTTTTAACTAACAAATAACTGACTTCCATTCCATTCTCTTAAGAAGTCTGTTAAACAAGCAAGTTAAGCATGTATGAGTATGAGACATTTTGCTGTGATACTTCAAGGGATTATGAAAAGCAAAAGTTTTCAAGGGATGCATATATTTCTTTCCTTACATTTTCTGAACATGAACATGCAATTATTTTACCAAATTTATGTGTAAACTTTTAAGAGACTGAAAAATGTATGTTGAAACAGAGAAGGCAAGAATTAAGCCACTAAAAAGTTTTACCTGAAACATTCTTATTGATATTCACTAATTTTTATTCAGACAACTTATATTACTTGAAATGCTTAAGCTATAAACCATATTAAAGAAAATCTATTCTGACAACCAATAAGCGTCGGTGAGGATGTGGAGAAAAAAGAACGATCACACACTACCGGTAGGAATGCAAACAGTGCAGCCACGGTGGAAAACTATATGGAAATTCCTTGGAAAGTTAAAAACAGACCTATCCTACGATCCAGTAATCACACTACTGAGTCTGTACCCAAACAATATAAAAACATTAATTCAAGGGGCGCCTGGGTGGCCGAGTTGGTTGGGCGTCCGACTTCACCTGAGGTCATGATCTCACGCATTGTGGGTTCAAGCCCTGCATCGGGCTCTGTGCTGGCAGCTAGCTTCAAGCCTGGAGCCTGCTTCAGATTCTGTGTTTCCCTCTCTCTCTGACTCTCCCCTGCTCACACTGTCTGTCTGTCTGTCTCTCTCTCAGAAATAAATAAAACATTAAATTTTTTTTAATTTAAGAAAAGAACACTAATTCAAAAGGACATATGCACCCCTATGCTTATTTCAGCATTATTTACAATAGCAATAATTTACATTTTGAAAACAGCCCATGTGTCTATTGATAGATGAATGGATAAAAAAGATGTGTGTGTACACACACACATACAGAGTAATATTATTCAGCCACAAAAAAAAAAAAAAAAAAATGAAATCTCGGGGCGCCTGGGTGGCTCAGTTGGTTAAATGTCCAACTTCGGCTCAGGTCATGATCTCACGGCTCGTGGGTTTGCGCCCCGCAATGGGCTCTGTGCCAACAGCTCAGAACTTGAAGCATGCTTTGTATTCTGTGTCTCCTTTACTCTCTGCCCTTCCCTGCTTGCACTCTGTTTCTCAAAAACAGATAAATGTTTTTTAAAAAAATGAAACCTTGCCATTTGCAACAACATGGATGGAGCTAGAGAGTATAATGCTAGGTAAAAAAAAGTCACAAAAAGACAAATACCATATAATATCACTCGTGGAATTTAAGAAACAAATAAGCAAAGGAAAAAGAGAGAGAAACAAAGCAAGAAACAGACTCTTAACTATAGAGAACAAGCTGATGGTTACCAGACCGGGGTGGGAAGAATGGGTGAAATAGATGATGGGGATTAAAGAGGGTACTTAGGATGAGTACTGAGAATGTACAGAACTGCTGAATCACTATACTGTACACCTGAAACCAATGAAACACTATGTATGTTTACTGAAATTAAACTTAAAAACTTAAAAAATTGTTAAATCTACGGTTTCTGAACCATAGAAATAGGAATAGAACAGTTACTAGACAACAGCTACTACTATTAAACAGCTGAGGAAGCATGAAAAGTATACCAAATTGCAATCTGAAGAACAGCCACTAGATGGTAGTGATTACAAATAAATCTATGCTTACCAAAGCAAGTAAGTTCAAACACTGGCCTACAGCCTACCAGAAAAAAATGTATTAGGAAATGAAGTCTGAAAATAATATACAATTTTACTCTTTCAATATTGGAGCAGTACTTGCAGAAGAGGATGCATAAAAAAATAAGGTGTAAAGACATTCCTTAGTAAACATGTAGTAAAAGCAGGTGATTTACACTAAATATATTAAATATATTTATACTAATTAATATACCATCACAGGCCAAATAAGGTCAACCACATGTCTAGGTTACCAAACACAACGCTGTTATGTCAACAAAATGTTTTCAAATCTAAAAGAAAAATAAAGGTTAAAAAGAAGATAGTAGGGTTAAGTGAAATCTAGAAATAGAGAAATAATCACTAAGCTCTGAGTCAAATAATTAGATGGTATTAAATCATGTTTTTATTCCTAAGAAACTGGTATTTATACTACAAATAGTACAACTAATTTAAATTCTCTTTTCCAATTAAGATTTTTTAAAGTTTTAACCATTAAAGAAATTAATATTTACCCTACCCTTAGCAAAGTATGTGGAGAGACTTAATAATAAAGGTTTACCAGTTAAACTAAAACTAAGAAAAAAGCCAAAGTTTACTAGACTAAGTACAAGACAGTAGTTATTTGTAGCCAAAGTGTCTCTCTGTTGTACCTAACATTGTATCTAACTATAAATTTTAACTAAAACCACTGCATATACATTAGCTGGTTGCCAAGCATAACATAAGTTATGAAATTTGAAGAGAAAATGTAACTACCTTCCCACTCACCTACCCATTTCTGAGTGGTTATCTACTTCTATTCTTCAGCAGGTGAAATGAAAGAAAGGAAGCAAGAAATCATTTCAAAATGGAGGATTCATGATTTCCCAGACTCAAAAGTAACTCAGCTCAAGAAGTATTTTCCATTTTTAAATTTGAATATGATACTTTAAATAAGTAAACTATTCCTCAGGTTTTTTTTTAATCAAAATAAACTTTATACTTAAAAGGAATTAAATAAGGGGGCACCTAGGTGGCTCAGTTGGTTAAAAGGAATTAAATAAGCATTCTATAAAAGCTTGGTCATTTAACCAGGTTGAGAGTAGAAGTTCACCATATTCACAGTCTAAGAAATTTACTTACATGAATATAGGATTTCCAAAACTTAATTTTAGCAATTAATTCAAGTGTCATAATATTTGTACTTTGTATACTTATGCCAATCCCTGTATTAGGAACTGAAGTAATAAGACTATAACACAGTCTTCCCTCAAAGTACAAAGTATACTTTATAAGTTCAGATATTAAACTAAGAATTCTGCAATATATTAAAAAATCTTACTTAGGTTTCTGGTCTTCTAATTACTTACCATTGCCCACAAAGACGACAAACCTGCATTCTTTTGTATCTCGAATGACATTATTCCAGTTGCCCCGAATATTTCCTTTCCCAACCCTTCTTTCTTGCTTTTTAAAGACACTCAAATGGAAGTCTTCTGCCCCAAAAGCAGAAGTTATAGCTTCATTCTGCATGGTCCTACATCACGGCATGAACTTGTGACATTTCTCATGCAAAAACATTTGGATTAAATATGCTTATATAACTCTATGCAGTCAACATCTAGCATAATGACTGCAATACACAGCTGTAAGTGTGTACTAATTTCTAGGATTTGTACTGTCTCATATGATCACATATCAGAAACAATTTATATTTTACATTAATTAGACACACAGTAACAGTATTTCCCTTTCTTTACTATCTAAATTACTTTAAACACACATGCAGCCAGTATACCCAAAAAACAATCTGGAAATGAAAAATCACTTACTGAAAAACGCCAGCATGAAAATCCCATCATTACCCACTCTGAGCTGGTCTGCATCACTACAGTCATCTCTTGGTTGACACTCTTCCTCCTGAATCTGGAAAACATGTAACATTAGAACGGCTCACTAAAAACTAGCTACAACTTTATTATCTTAAGTATAAAGATAAAAATTTAAATAAAATCAAATGTCCTCAGTTTGTTGAACAGACAAAATGTTATAACGAGTACAATATCTGGCACACAGTAAGTATTCAAACAGATTAGCAACAATTAATTTTTCATGGGCACCCTTGAAAAGGGTTAAACAAAAAAGATAAAAACTGAACAGTGGATTAATGAAAATGATAACAAGAAAGATGTGACTGACGCTGCATTTGCATCTAATGGGAAAGAGGAATTTCATGATAACGGTGGAGTCTAAATTATATCACCTCTATAGCTGGCAGTTTGGCAATATTTATCAAAAATAAAAATGTACAACCCACAACTATATGGTCAATTAATCTTTGACGAAACATTAAAGAATATCCAGTGGGGAAAAAAAACAGTCTCTTTAACAAATGCTGGTGGGAAAAATGGACAGCAACATGCAGAAGAATGAAACTGGACTAGTTTCTTATACCATACACAAAAATAATTCAAAATGGATGAAAAACTAAAATATGAGACCTGCAATCATTAAAATCCTAGAGGAAAATCCAGGCAGTATAAGCTGTAGCAACTTCTTACTAGATGTGTTTCTCCTGAGGCCCAGAAAACTATTGGGACTTGATCAAAATAAAAAGCTTCTGGGCTGCCTGGGTGGCTCAGTCAGTTAAGCATTCGACATCAGCTCAGGTCAGGATCTCTCAGTTCAGGAGTCTGAGCCCCAGGTAGGGCTCTGTGCTGACAGCTGAGAACCTGGAGCTTGTTTAGCATTCTGTGTCTCCCTTTCTCTGCCCTTGGCCCATTCATGTTCTGTCTCTCTCTCAAAAACAAATATTTAAAAAAAGTTTTTTAAATAAGTAAATAGGGGTGCCTGGGTGGCTCAGTCAGTTAAGGGTCCCACTTCAGCTCAGGTCATGATCTCATGGCTCGTAAGTCCAAGCCCCACATCAGGCTCTGTGCTAACCGTTCAGAGCCTGGAGCCTGCTTCAGATTGTGTTTCCCTCTCTCTGCGTCTCCCCTGCTCATGCTCTCTCTCTCAAAAATAAACAAACAAAAATAAATAACTTCTGCACAGTGAAGGAAACAACAAAACTAAAAGGCAAACTACGGAATGGGGAAGATACTTGCAAGTGACATATCTAATAAAGGGTTAGGTCCAAAATGTATAAAGACCTTATAAAACTCAACACCCCAAAAATGAATAATCCTATTAAAAGATGGGCAGAAAACACAAATAGATATTTTTTCAAAGACACCTAGATAGCCAAAAGACACATGAAAATACTCAACATACGTCATCATCAGGGAAATGCAAATGAAAACTACAATGAGATACCACCTTACACCTGTCAGAATGGCTAAAGTCAACAACACAAGAAACAACAGGTGTTGGAGAGGCTGTGGAGAAAACAAAAGCCTCCTGCGGTATTGGTGGGAATGTAAACTGGTGCAGCCACTCTGGAAAACAGTATGGATGAAGGTTCCTCAAAAAGTTAAAAACAGAAATAACTCTACGATCCAGCAACTGCACTACTAGGTATTTACCCAAAGAATACAAATATACTAATTCAAAGGGAGACCTGCACCTCGATGTTTATACTAGCATTATCTAGAAAAGCCAAACTATGAAAACAGCCAAAGTGTCCACTGATTGACGAATGGATAAAGAAGACGTGGTACATACATACAATGAAATAGTACTTGGCCATAAAATAGAATGAAACCTTGCCCTTTGCAGCGATGTGGATGTGATGTGGAGCTAAAGAGTATTTTGCTAAGCAAAATAAGTCAGAAAAGACAAATATCACATGATTTCACTCATATGTGAAATTTAAGAAACAAAGCAAAAGATCATAGGGAAAAAGAGAGAGAGAAACCAAGAAACAGAGAACTTAACTACAGAGAACTGATGGTTACCAGAGAGGCAGGGGATGGGTCAAAAAGGTGATGGGGATCAAGGAGGGCACCTGTGATGAGCACCAGGTGTTTTATGGAAGTGTTGAATCACTAAACTGTACACCTGAAACTAATACTATATGTTAACTGGAACTGAAATAAAAACTTTTAAAAAAGAAAAAAATGTGCCCACACACCCTTTGACTAAGCAATTCTTGAAATGTACTGTACAAATTTACTTATTATATTCCCAATTATAAGAAATGAGGTATTAAAGGTAATTTGCTGCAGTAATGTTAATAAGAGCAAAAGATTAGATACGATCTAAACGCCCATCAACAGTGGACTCTTGTCAGGAGATAATTCTCCATGAGTCCTTCATGTTTCTATACGTCTTCCAGGTAGAGGCAATGGTGGCCCTTCTGTACTATCTTTTCAAGGATGTTTACACTGCAGACGGCTCTGGAAGAGAGCAATCATGTCATTCCCCAAGGCAGAGATGTGGGCATGTTTAGTGACCGTTAGAAAATACTGGGTTCACTAAACTCAAGGTTCCACACTGTGTGTGGAAACATTACGTGGCCCTCTTTGTATTCCCAGTGGGAACTGAGGCTCAGGAGGCTGGTCAAGAAACTGCTCATATGTTCACAGCAGTCTCACTACATACACTGCCAAAAGAAAAAGACTTTGAAAACCATATTGCTCATCATTTGGGCCAAAAAATCCCTAACGTATTCTGCCATCACGTATCATAGAAAATCCAGTGACTGGCAATGACTAAGTACACAATAATAAAATTTTGTATAATTTCAAGTTACTTCAAGAAATAAACATTAAAGCCCAGTGTAAGCCCCCCCAAAACCAGTCAGATGATAGCAAGAATATAAACATTTCATATTCTTTCTAAATATCAGTCCAGAGATTATCACACATCATTTTTAAAAAGACAGAAAACATATGTGCAAAGATATCTTTTACAATATTAACAATGGAAAACACAGACACATCAACACACATTTCAAAATAATCTGTCTACCAGAAGATTGAGTACTAAATTACAGTAGTATAACTGATTCCATGGAATTTCACGCCATCATTAAAACAGAAACATTTATATAAAATGCTTAAAAAATAGAAGAGGCTCTCTAATAATTTCTATTACATGAAACAAAGATTTATAAATCCCAAAACTGGTAAAGGACACCAATATATTTTAAAATGAAAAGCTATAAAGAGAACAAGTGTGGTATTTCTTCTTCCTAATTTCTCACATTGTTAATTTTTAAAAAGCATTCTTCAACTTAATAAATTATAATTTATTAAATACCAAATATGTGCCAGATAATAGCGAGGTGCCAGAAAAGATTAATAGTGAGGTGTAAACACAAGGTCCTCATCCTGGAGTGCCTCACAATTTATAAAGTGCTAGTCTGTGTGTCAAAAGACACATTACTGACAAACTGTAAAACAAGGTACAAAAAAGCAAACGCTACCCACTATTAGGTTATAAGATAAGACTACCTGGTGAATAAGCCATGTTCTAAAAGCTGCAAGTGAATTCTCTGAATTCAAATAATTTCCATAAAAATATTGAAAATGAGTAGTTCACTTCTATAAATCTATTTAATCATCCCATAATTAACATGCAATACTACACATTAGAAACAAGAAACAGTAGACAACCGTATTGTTTCCAGGTCTCCTGGCTACTACCTATGTTCTCCCAAAAAGCATGGATTTAAGAAATAAGCTTTCAACTCACCCAGGTGAGATTCATTTATAACTGAATGCATACTCAAATGCTGATCAGACCAGTCTCTATCCAAATCAGGTATAGAAACACATACTCAATCGACTTGGCAGAAAAGAGGCAGGTGCTGGAGCACTGGGTTAGAAACTGATAAATTTTTAAGAGTTTTTATACAAGAAACTATGTAAAGTCTCTTCTGTTCAATTATATTTTGCATTCCATGAAATTTTCCACAATCTTCACAAGCTACAGTTACAATGGTATCAGAAGCAGATGAAAACAGAAAACGTTTCCTTATGGACATGTTCCAGTTCAGTCTGGGATCACAGTACTTTCTAAACCAGTACTGAAATTATGACAGGAAAAGGCTGGAACAGTAACACTTCAGAGTTTTCTCTCCAAAAAGTTAGATCACGTTTCTGCTTTCCCCACAGAGAGCAAGACAAGGCTTGCCTCTCTCTTTTGAGAGTTCTTATTGTGTGCAAGTTAGGGCAGCAGAGGTCCCAAGTTGTTTAACATCCTTTTAAGGACCTTTGCCATTTCCAAGGTCTCTAGGGAGACACTCCTTGAGAAAAGGAGTTACAGTCCTGGTTTAAGGAGAGTGCCTGCATGTGCACAATGCATGGACAGCCATGTATGTGCTAAGCAACCTGGAGCTGATTTTGATAGAAACCCCACACTCTACACATCTATGCTCCTTCTCTATGATTCCCTCCTCCAAGTATCAAAAACCCTTACTGACAGCTATATTTATGCCACTGTCTTAACAAAGACTTGCTTTCCCCCTCAGAAGGAAAAGGCATAAATAATAAATTTGAGGCTTACTGTCTTTACTTATGTGCCCAAAGCTATTTATGTTGACATTTGAGTCTCTGTGTTGGAGTACGGGAGCAGGAGCAGGCATGGAAAGTGCTGTACTGGTGAAAGAAACCCATCCAGGAAAAAAAACACTCCCGCATCAAATACTCTGCTCCCTGGGCTCTGGCCTGATGGCAGCAGGACAATGCTGTACACAGAGCACCTTTCTCTCCCTCCGTCCCTCACCTCATTCTAGCTTTCTGTGTAAATGTAAGTTTGGGTGTCTTTTCCTGAAAAAAAATGGGATGAATCTAGGACACTGAAATAATACCCATCTCTAATGTCTGAAGCAAGAAAAAAGGGCAACAAACTCCAGCCTGCAGCCACGCTGAAATGAAATAACTTCCACGTTTTGCTGGACTGCAGAATTGCACACATGCATCTTGTTGACTGTCCACTACTGAGACAGCCCCTCCTTTACCACAACAAGAAGTAACATTCATATGTATCACTGACTCTCTTACTGAGACAGGAAGGGGAGAAAGGGCAGGTGGAATCCTTGACCATCATTCTAAAATTCTAGTGTGAGACGTGTTAAAGTGCCAAAAAATATAAAAAAGTTAATTGACAAACATAATTTGAAGGCCTTGTAACTTATTTCTCTGTGTTTTTTAATCTACACTGAGTTCATTCGGAGTCACTATCTGGCTATGCTAATATACACAAATGAGTAGGAAAAAAAGATGCTTTATGATTTGTAGTTATGGACCACAAAATCTAAACTATATAAAGAGGGAAATAAGGACATCAACAGTGAAGAGGTCAATGGGATGGGGTAACTAAAGTGAGAAGTCAGAGGATACAGGGGTAAAAGTCAGCACATGAGAGGAGAGAAATCAAGATTTAGGAAACATATTGGTAAAGACAAGGGCTAGGATGTCCACAAACTAAGATGGAGTATAGGAGGAAGATCAATAGAAATAAATAGAAACAGAAACAGAAATGGTGGAGAAGGTGGATTTAACTAGGAGAATGCCAATTTCACCAAAAAAATGACAACACACATTAAGTGGTAGTAGAGAAAATACTAAAAAAGAATCTACACGCACAAACACTGTTAGAGAACTATTTTTGATAGAATGTACTCAGAATAACGAGACGACATTCTCAAAAGGAAGCAATCAGATCGCCTTACTCTCTGAGCTGTTTCTGCTGCTGCAGCCGCCATGGCGGCAGCCTTCGCCTTCTCGGCTTCATCGTATGTAGGAAGGGAGGTAGCAACACTGTAGGGAGGTGGCACGGGATAAAACTCACTGTAAACTTCTGAATCTGAAGAAAGGGATTAAAAAAGGACAACCATTAAAACAAACTATTTAATAAAATTTTTATAGTCAAAAACAATTTAATAATTTACAATAGGCTACTAAAGACTATTACTGCTACTTGAGGTCTTATTTTATAAGCTACGTAATATATGTTACTAATACTATCATATATATTAGTTTAGTCTCATATCTACTATAAAGGGAAAAGCCTGATAAATGTCATCTAAAAGCTGATACAGAAAACAAAAATATCATGAATGAAATTCTGAAAATCTGGATAAGAGAAGGGAGGTGAGAAACTCCTCACATGTGAGCATCCGTTCTGCCTACTGCTATGCTCAAAGAATTTAATTTACCTGCTCATCATCTCATAGCCTAAAAGTAGAAGTTTTAGGAATAATATCCGGAAGTATCAGGAATAATATAAGAAATAATTTAATATGCCACTTCTATAGACATTAATCTTAGCAACAACACTCAAGTTCAGAAAAGTTAAGAAATTTGCCCAGTATTACACAACCAATCAGTGGCAGAACCCAGGGATTTCCTAATTACCAATATTTGCTCTCATAATGTGAGGGTCATTTTTTTTCTTGTCAGTTTTAGCAACTGTCCAAATCTCTTCAGCAAGCTCAGTATTTCTCTTTGCTAAAAAAGATTGGTGATTTTTAGCTTTTTTACTCTTCTCCCTCTCATTTTTTTCCATATCTATCTAGTTTTAGATTTTCTTTTTATGAATTTTTCCCTCCCCAATTTTTAAATGATTTCTAAAATATGCTCTTCAGAAATATAACACAGTAGCAAGTGCAGAGTGCTAATTTTATTTTATTTTTTAAAGTTTATTTATTTATTTAGAGAGTGATAGAGAGCAAGCGGGGGAGGGGGCAGAGAGAGAAGGAGAGAGAATCCCAAGCAGGCTTTGCACTGCTGACAGAGATCCCAATTCAAGTCTCATGAACCTGTGATATCATGACCTAAGCCAAAACCAAGAGTCGGACACTTAACCAAATGACCTACCCAGGCGTTCCACAGAGTGCTAATTTTAAAAGAACCTCCATCACTTATCACCAACCTCAGCAGTACAAGTAACACTGATTAGACTTATGCTACCATCACTGCCATGAAAATCAGGTAGACTCTCAAAGTTGTCCACACCCCAATGTGGGACATCACTTTTGTGATTTCCTTGATTATAACTATAGTATCTGTACATTTTCTATACTGGTTTATAATTTTCTCTATCAGAATTTTTTGCATTTCCAACATGAAAACAAGTTTCACTCTAGCAATACTTTTCCTTCTGTATTTTAATATATACTGGTTTTAAAATAAGATTTTTATTTTTTTAATGTTTATTTATTTCTGAGACAGAGACAGAGACAGAGAGAGAGAGCAAGCAGGGGAGGGTCAGAGAGAGAGGTAGATACAGAATCTGAAACAGGATCCAGACATTGAGCTGTCAGCACAGAGCCCGATGCAGAGTTCAAACCCACGAACCATGAGATCATGACCTGAGACAAAGTCGGACGCTTAACCGACTGAACCACCCAAGCACCCCTTAAAATAAATTTTTTAAATGCTATCAATAAGAGCTAAGGATCTGAAACTAGGAAATTTTTAATCCAATGACGGATAATGCTAGTAACAGCATAATACTGAGTGTTATCCACTCAAATGGTACAAGGGTCATAAATTCTTAGAAATGACTTATTTTTCAGATGTAAAAACACCACACACGGTCAAGAAAATCGATTTCCTTAGTTCTGAAGAGTAGGATAGAAGCAAAATTTAAGTGAAAGCAATGATTATGAATTTTAAGGCAGTAACATTAAAATTACAAATCTAAAAACTGGAACTATGACATACATTATCCAAGAAGATGATATAGTTTACATTAACACCAGATATGTAATTTTTGAAAAGTTTTAACTCCCATGAAAGGCAAAATGAAAGTAACAAATGGAAATGCAAATTGGGAAAGAGCACTACTATAGCTTTAACTTACACTAGTTAATTTTACTTATGTTTTGTCTGTCCTTTAAGGCAGCGGATCTTAATCAGAAAATTTAAAGTCTGGGGAGCTCCAGTCCTAGCTGCTCATCTTAAGTTGTGAGACCTTAAGCAAATCACTTAAGCATGTTATGAAGCTCTACTTTCTCATCCATAAAACTGACTTAGTAAGGCTATCACTTGCTGTTATATGACAGGATTTAAGAGTAGTCAAGAGGACTCTGTAAACTGTGAAGCATTATATAAATGTCAACTTTTATTACTGATGGTGCTCAGTTCTATAAGACCAGCCATAAAGTGACCTACTGAAGAACATAATCTCCACAGAAAACTGGTACTGTTCATACTTAAAAGAAGCTGAAAAAAAAAACCAGTATCAATGGTTTTCATTAAAGAGAAGTCAAACTTCTAGAATTACTCAGTTCTTGTGCTCAACTACAGTCATGAAAGGCCTTTTAGTACAAGTGTGAAAATAAAAGAGACCAGAAGTCACACAGATTATAAGAATAACTGACGAACACCTAGGTAGCAGGGTCAACTTGTCTTACAACTGAAATTTATCTAACCTCTAAAAATGACATGATCTGTTGGGCACGTGCATGGCCTAGTTGGTTAAGCATCTGACTTAATTTTGGCTCAGGTCATGATCTCACGGTTGCGAGATCAAGCCCCGCATCTGGCTCCACACTGGAGCCTGCGTGGGATGCTTTCTCCCTCTCTCTCTGCCCCTTCCCCACTAATGCCGTCTCTCTTTCAAAATAAACAAACTTAAAAAAAATGACACGCTCCAATATCAAAACTATTCTAGAGCACAGGAAAATGACAAGCTTCTCAATTCATGCTATGTTGCTTCCATAATATTAATACTAAAACCATAAAGACAGTACAAGAGGTAAAGATCCCACTAATAAAACTGTAAAACTTTTGGGAAAAAAACATTAACAAATCTAAATCCAGAAAGGATTAGAACATGGTGACAATTTATTCTATGAATACAGAAATGGATTGGTTTAAAAAGAAATCTATTTTTTTTAATTTTTTAATGTTTTATTTTATTTCTGAGAGAGAGAGACAACATGAGCAGGGGAGGGTCAGAGAGAGAAGGAGACACAGAATCAGAAGTAGGCTCCAGGCTCTGGGCTAGCTGTCAGCACAGAGCCCGCCACGGGGCTCGAACCCACGAGCTGTGAGATCATGACCTGAGTCGAAGTCGGACGCTCAACCGACTGAGCCACCCAGGCGCCCCTAAAAAGAAATCTATTAATAAAATATTTCATTATATCAAAAATTAAACAGAGAAAAAAACATAGTTCTGTGATAAGGACCCAATAAGATGACTTCAAGGTTTCTGGGCTAGTGGAGCCATTTACCGAAGTGAAGACAACTGTCCAGGAAAAGGTTCAGAGATGGAGGAAGAGGCCATAGACAGTTATAAAGGTACTGAAACTTTCTTTATTCTTTCAAACTCGTCCTGTCAAGAGGTGGAGATTAATTCCTCAATTGTCTTGAAAAAGACTAATTAACTTAGTGACTCACTTCTAACAAACCAAGTGTGGCAGATGTGACACTGTGTGACTTCTGTGGTAATGCCATGACAGGTGACACAGCTTCTATCTGGATTCAGAATGCCTATTCTTGGAACTCAGCCTCCATTCAATGAGGAAGCCCAGGCCACAACAAGAGGTCACGTATAGGTGTCCTGGCCAACAGTCCCAGCTGAGGCCCTAGGGAAAGCTTCCATCAGCTGCCAAATACATATATAAGGAAGCCTCAAGATGACTCCAGCTCCATGTCACCAAAAGCTGGTAACCACATGAGATGCTGGGAGACAACTGTATGACTGAGCCTAGCCAACCTGAAAAACCATGAGAACTAGTAACACTAAATGATTGTTACTTTACTCTGTTCGGTTTGTGGTAGCTTGTTATACAGCCACGGCAATGGTGACCGCCACAAAAAAACCTGCAAATTCAATCTTAGCATCTTCCATCATTTAAACACAGGCAAAGCATCAGGAAAATAACTCATTCTCTTTCTTCAAGACTACCATCATAGATTTTTTTTTTTTTTTTTTTTTACCTAGAATCTAGAATAGCAAATTCATTGCACTATATTCTGGAAAGCTGTGGAATAATGAAAAAAAAATTTAGCCCAAAATAAATTTAGCTAGCGCCAATCCAGCTGTTAAATACTGTGGCCAAAGACAAATAAAACTGATATAAATCAATATAAAAACTGACCATCAAACTAGGTACTAAACAAGAATAGTGATCAAATAAATATTATATACAAATAAAAGGAGTAAGCATTTACAATTAGTGAGAATGCCTTCATAAGTTCATTTTCAGTAATTGCATAAAATTGTAAATGAAAAAAGTAAATAATTTGATCTTTTTACACAACCTGTATGGTATAGATAAAATCTGTAGAAACAGAAATGGTAACAAGAGAAAGTCAGCAGAAGTTTGTGAAGTATTAATATTAATTACAGAATAAGAAATAAGAAAGATGAAATACTCTAGTGGAAGGGTCTACTAAACATTAAAATGTTTCTTATAATGGGTTTAAAAAATGTTTCCTAATGAATACATAAAATACTTAGAGGTTATTTACAATCATATACAAAAGTATATTTAAAAATTTATATGTTTATTTTTGAGAGAGTGCAAGCAGGGGAGGGGCAGAGAGAGAAGGGGATAAAGGATCCAAGCAAGCTCTGCACTGATAGCAGGAAGCTCCCTGCGGGACTCAAACTCATGAACCATGAGATCATGACCTGAGCCAAAGTCAGATGTTCAACCGATTGAACTACTCAGACACCCTAAATTTTTTTTTTAATTACATAACGATTAACTCCAAGAAACAACAAGTGTTTGCAAAGATGTAGAGAAAAAGGAACTCTCATGCACTGCTGGGGGAATGCAAACTGGTTCAGCCACTGTGAAAAACAGTATAGAAGTTTAAAAAGTCAAAAATAGGGATGCCTGGGAGGCTCAGGTCATGATCTCACCGTTCATGGGTTTGAGCCCCACATCAGGAGCTGTGCTGACAACTTAGAGCCTGGAGCCTGCTTCAGATTCTGTGTCTTCCTCTCTCTGCCCCTCCCCTGCTCGTGCTCACTCTCACTCAAAAGTAAAAATAAAAAAAAAATTTTTTAATGTTTTTTATCTATTTCTGAGAGAGAGAGAGAGAGAGAGACAGCGTGAGCAAGGGAGGGTCAAAGAGAGAGGGAGACACAGAATCTGAAGCAGGCTCCAGGCTCTGAGCTAGCTGTCAGCACAGCGCCCGACGTGGGGCTCAAACCCACAAACCGTGAGATCATGACCTGAGCAGAAATCAGATGCTTAACCGTCTGAGCCCCCAAAAGAAATTTTTAAAAGTCAAAAATAGAATGAACCTATGATGAAGTAATCTCACTACTGGGTATTTACCCAAAGAATATGAAAACATTAATTTGAAAGGATGCATGTGCTCTGTGTTTATGGTAGCATTATTTACAACACCCAAATAGCCAAATTATAGAAGAAGCCCTAGTGTCCACTGGTAGATGTAAGGATACAGAAGATATAGTGTGAATATATATAATGGAATGTTATTCAGCTTTTTAAAAAAAAGAATGAAGTCTTGCCATTTGCAACATCATGGATGGAGCTAGAGTGTATAATGCTAAGTGAAATAAGTCAGAGACACACAAATACCATCTGATTTTATTCATATGTGAAACTTAAGAAACAAATGAACAAAGGAAAGAAAACAGAGACAAACCAAAAATGAAACTATTAACCATAGACAACAAACAAATGGTTATCAGAAGGACCTGAGCAGAGGCATGAGTGAAATAGGTGAAGGGGATTAAGAGTACAAGTATCGGGGCGCCTGGGTGGCTTAGTCGGTTAAGCGTCCGACTTTCGCTTAGGTCATGATCTCGCGGTTTGTGGGTTCGAGCCCCACGTCGGGCTCTGTGCTCACTGCCAGCTCAGAGCCTGGAGCCTGTTTCAGAGTCTGTATCTCCCTCTCTCTCTGACCCTCCCTTGCTCACACTGTCTCTCTCTCTCTCCTAGAAATAAATAAAAATATTAAAAAAAAAAAAAAAGAGTACAAGTATCATGAAGAGCACTGAAATGTAGAGAACTACAAAATCACTATATTGTACACCTGACATTCATATAACACTGTATGTTAACTGTACTGGAATGAAAGTAAAGAATAAAAAAAAAATTATGTAATTAGCTTAGCATTACTGGGAAAACACAAACTGTGGCCAGAGAAATTGAGGGCAGTTCTTTAGAATGACCTGAAAGGATAAGATGAACAGTAAGAAGCAGGAACTACCGTCATATGTCCAGAGATTACTACCATGCATATGTGATAACATTATGTATACACTTCACCTCTGTTCACACATAGCACATTCCTACTCACACGGCATCAATAATACTTTGATATACGACTATGTAAGTAGATATACACAAGTACAAATATATAAAAATATGTATATGTAAATACACCTATATATCTATATATGCGTATGTGTATGTATACAAATTTATGTGTATATACGATTTATTTGTTTCTTCCAAAAGTAATATGCTACTGTTGGAAATAGATTTTAATAAACATAAGAAAGTTTATACTTATAACTTTTTTTGAAAACAAAAATATGAGGCAAGTAATATATAAGTAAATATTTTACAAACTGAACTTGGGAAAACATTTTCTTTAAAAAAATCATAAAACCAATAAGCCTCTAACTAAACTCAATAATTACACAAAACCATACTAGTTTAAAAAAAAAGGAGATATTAAAAGCATTACTTGTCGTTTCATCTAAAAACAATACCTGAAGTTGTAGGTACTTCCACAGTAATACTACTATAAGGTGGAGGAGAAGTGTCAGTTTCAGGTACTGATGTAGAAGGAGCAGTCTGTGGTGTTGAGTTTGAAGTTGATGGTTGCTCTATAGCAGATGACTCTGAATTATCCTCTTCATTGTGAAGCTAAGAGAACAAGGAAAAAGAAGACAATCATGTAATTCTGATTATTATTTTTTAAAAAATTTAAGCTAATTTTCAAAGACTGTTTTAGACAAAGGATCACTTTTTAGCTAAAAACAAAGTAAAATAACATTTAAAAAGATGAACAAAATTTGTAAGAGACCTAAGCAGTCATTAAAAAATTTATATTTTTGGTAGTTTCTTTACAATAAAAATGAGGTTCAGATTAAGAATTTATAAAGAAAAAAAATCATGACTACAAATACATTCAAATCCATTCAATCCTACAGTTAATACTGTCTACCATGTATTAATTGCTATAAAGAAAACAACTAATATAACCACAATACCATTTCTATTACACTAGTATCTAGAATAACTGAAAATGTAACTTGAATTAGTAAAATAAAATGAAATAATTTATAACCATTTTAAAAATGCAGAATACTTCTAAGGAGGTTTTCTCAAGTACCAGAAGAATTACTTATAAAGCAAGATGAATCAGTGTGTATATAAAATCCTGGAAGATGCTCTTCAACACAACAAACTACTGAAAGTTCAGGAAGGGCAGAACAATACATTGGACCTGCAATCATGTAACTCATTTAATCCTCATCACAGATTTATGAAATAAGAGAGTGTTCTCTCCATTTGACAGATTAAAATGGGGATGGAGAACAACCCTGAAAGGGTGAGAGTAACTTGCCAGCCAGGAAGGGTAAGGCCGGGACTCAAACCCGAGCAGCAGGGCTGCAGACTTCTTACTTCATTTACAAGTAATCTTTTAATACTCATAGTCTTTTAAATACTTTTAAATTTGTTAGGAGGTGATAATAACTACATGCAAACTAATTCGAGGTGAACCAAAAGCATCAATATCTAAAAAGTGACTCATCAAAAAGGTACTATAATTGATCCTTATGTTTGGAAAAGAGTTCTTATTAAATATTTTTAAACATTTTTAAAAATATAACTTATTGTCAAGTGGGCTAACGTACAGTGTATACAGTGTGCTCTCAGCTTTGGGGGTAGATTCCCATGATTCATCGCTTACAACACCCAGTGCTCATCCCAACAAGTGCCCTCCTCAATGCCCATCATCAATTTTATCCTCTCCCACCTTCCCCCATCAACCCTCAATTTGTTCTCTGTATTTAATAAGACTCTCTTATGGTTTGCCTCCCTCCCTCTCTGTTTGTATTTTCTCTTTCCCTTATTAAATATTTTTGACACTTTTAAATCTACTAGAATCTTGTTTTGAAGAAAAACTACAGGTCCTCAACATTATTCAATTTTCATATCTTAAGTTTTCCTCATACTTTAAGAAATTCAATGTTAAAAATTATCCCCCTAATAAATTTTGTCACAGAGCAAATCTGTACACACACAAATCTGGGTGTTGTGAAGCAGTGAAATGAACAGGCACTTGGAGTTTAAAAAGAAGAGCAGGTAAATTCTTGCTCTACCTTTCAAGAGCTTTGAGAAACCTCTTCTCTGTGCCTCACTGTCTCCAAGTTTAAGTTCTAAATGCAGCCAAAATCCTCACAAAATTGTAAAATAGTATTTGGAAAACATCTAACATTAACATCTAATCCTCACAAAATTGTAAAATAGTATTTGGAAAACATCTAGCATTAACATCTAATACAGAGAAGGCATTTAATAAATACTAGTTTCCTCCTTCTTCCTCTTTAATATACTTTATTCTGTGGCCTGAAATAATTTGGTGCTATCAGTCCAATAGTCACTCATACGCCGCTAAAAAATAAAAAAATATATATACGTAAAGTAAAATTCACTTCACTGCTGTTTGCATGTGTCTTGGTAAGTAATCTCACTAGCACAATACTTTTGTTGAGTTCATAAATTTTAACACAACTGCCATAAACATAACTAAATCATTTCTCAAGTTAGCAAGACAGTTTTTCTCTATAATACCAAGGTTTATGTGATAGAATTCACTGAAAGAAATGGAATTGTTGGGTCAAATAATCACAAAGTGGACTTTGCAGGAGCTTTGTATTTACCTGCAGCAGTTTTCCAAGCAGGCACTACACAACCACCCTCCTGACTAGCAACAACACTCTGCCTCGGAGTCACAAAGCATCTTCCATGTTTCGTATTACAAGTTACCCAGAGGAACTCCTAACTTAGTCATCTCTGATCATATTTTGAAAAGCAAAAATGTTAGATGAGCAAATTAAGGCAAATAAAAGTGAAGTACGGATACATACTTAGCATTAACAACTAAACAATTAACAGTAATGTGTCAAAAAAAGAAACCACTGCTCCATCCCTACTAGTAACACTGCAAACGTGGGGGAACTGTACTAAAGAAAAAATGTCATATGACAAAACAGCTCTCCTTTGGTTCCTCATAAGAAACACTCCTTACTGTATCAAATACATAACCAACTCATTTTTAAAACCTATCAAAATGTATTGAAATAACTGCAGTAAAAAAGTAACTATAGATACTTCTACATATGATTTCAGAAGTAAAGCTTGGAACTTGTAAAACATACCCTAAATTATTTCAACTGCCCTAACACTTTGTTTTATTTTTACAAAATTATACTATATAGTGAACATTTGCCATGTATCATATGTAAAACCCATTAACTTAGTCAATAATCTCTACCCACTGTAGCAGAGAACTTCCAAAATGTAACTTTTTAATTTGATCTCTTAGGTGCCTCTGTAAATTAACCTACTTTGATTGCCTTTTTTTTTTTTTTAAATGTTTTATTTATTTCTAGGAGAGAGAGAGAGACAGCGTGAGCAGGGGAGGGTCAGAGAGAGAGGGAGACACAGACTCTGAAACAGGCTCCAGGCTCTGAGCTGGCAGTCAGCACAGAGCCCGATGCGGGGCTCGAACCCACGAACCGCGAGATCATGACCTAAGCGAAAGTCGGACGCTTAACCGACTAAGCCACCCAGGCGCCCCAACTGCCTTTTAACTAAGTCCATTCAAGGGTTCAAACCAAATCATATGTTTATCAAAACAGACAATGTCATTTATGGAAATTTGTCCTTAATCATGCTGCAATGGTTCTATTTTACATTCTTTAAGGATTACCATAAACAGCAAATAAAGGGGCAGGGATAAGTTGGGTGTGACGTACATATATACAATAATGAACCAGGCACCTCAAAAGTTATCTTCCTAGCTTATCCTATTTCTGAGCCTCCTGAAAATAACATGGGCAATAACACAGGAAGGGGCACCTGAGTGGCTCAGTCAGTTAAGACTCTGACCCTTGATTTCAGCTCAAGTCATGATATGGTTTGTGAAACTGAGTACTCATATAGGGCTCTGAGCTGACAGTGCAGAGCCTGCTTAGCAGTCTTTATCTCCCTCTCTCTCTCTACCCTCCCCCCCACTCACGTGCTCTCTCTCAAAATAAACATTTAAAAAAAATAAATAATAGCACATGAAAACTAAAACATATATTTAATATTAAGTGACCAGGGTGATGAAAAGTTGCAGAGAGATACAAGAATGACAACAGGGCTATCTATCTTCAACATATCTGTAGCTAATCTTACTGATGTAAACTGCGTACTTTTAATAAGACAACCTCAACCATTATGATTAACTCGACCTTGAAGTCCAGCCTTCTCATGTGTAAACTGTTTATTTTCCTTTAACTGGCAGCTCTCCTATGCTACAGCGCTTCATCCTATCTTAAGGTGATAAAAAAATTAACATAATAACTGTGAGCTTTGCTTCTGATAAGCCAGAAACCTCACTGAATGTTTTCTAAACATACCAAGATGAAATGTATGGATGCACTATAAAGTGTTGTTCAGCAAGGAATGTTTGAAAGAAAAAAAATTTGTAGGTTATTAGGGGAAAAAAGGTACGTGAAGAGCTAATGGGCTAATGCATCTTGTACACTACCATATTCTTACTACATTTAATTTTAGCATCAGAAGACAAAACTGGGAAGAAGAGTTTGCAAGGAGATAAGTTTTAGCTCAATAAAAAAAAAAAAACCTTTACATTTTTTAAATTAGATCTTTTAAATTATTAGAATGCTAGCTTTTCTGAAGGGCAAAGGCAGATTTTGGATGATTCTCTGGCAAGGCTGCAGACCAGGCTGTTTTCCCCAGGGGAGTCCTACTTTTTATACCTACTATTCCAGGGCTCCATTCAATTTAGCATTTTCTCCACCCCTTTCATTCTCAACACAACTGAATGGTCAATTCAATGGTCAGCCTACATATAATGGGATCCTTGCCCTTTATGTGATATTAATAGAAGCCAAAGGCTGCTATAACATGACTTTAGTAAAAACCTATGGTGGTCGCTATCATTCTACATTGCCTTATTTAACACCTGAATTAGAGGAGAAATCAGATTAGAGTGCAGTAAGATCAACTGGTAGAGTCCAGCTACTCATTTTAATCACCCAAGAAGAAAGTGAGCTACCTTATCTATGCCACTAGAGATAACGTGGTAATAGCAGAAGCCAAGAAATCTCTGCAGACAGCATAAATGACCTAAACCAATCGCTGGGAAGAGAGGTCCCCACAAAGCACTTCTGCTTGTCAAATGAAGTTAGATTTTCTACCCATAAAACTAAATTACAGCAGTCTTCCTTATGTGTGTGTGTGTGTGTGTGTGTGTGTGTGTGTGTGTGTATATATATATATATATACATATATGTATGTATGTATATACATACATACATATACTATTAACCAAATGTCTCTGGACATTTCTCCACTAATGAGAGCTAGCTGATGATAAAGCAAAAATATAAACAATGAGGAAAGAATGTACAACCAATGAATGAATATTAATAAAAAGACTGTCTCTCTCTCTCAAAAATAAATAAACATGAAAAAAAATTAAGGAAGTTTTATTCCTTTCTGTTTCCTTAATCAAATTAAATAAGAACACATTAATAGATTTTCTGATTCGCATGCACCAAAATAAGTCAGCAAATGTGCTATGTGGTAAAGTTTAAAAAGTTAAATTGGCTAAGGAGCATGCC